CCAATGAGATTAGAGATTGGCCAATTTATCTTGTAGACAGTTAGGCTTTAGATCTTCCGCACATTGGGTAACTGGAAACAAACTTACTAGAAACTTGAATCGTCAATCAGTTGCTTATTAGTTGCCGCTTGTGTATTTCAATGAGCATCCGCACGCAACACAACTCAACTGCAAGGAAACTCGTCGGTGATCTGTTAGCCGCAATCCGACATGCAGCGTCGCTTGGCGATTAGTTTCTATTTTATCCTGTGAACAAGCACGTAAAACGGCGAAAATTGGAGAATAATCCTTCAATTTTAGGCTACTTCAAATCCTATATGCATTTTATTATTTTTTGAATGTAGTGATAAACACAATACCCATTTTCTTCTGCCGAATTCTTTTTTATGATAAGTGATCATATCTTGGATTATTAAACATTTTTGCTAGGATAATAACAATATCCTAATCATAATAATAAAATAATATAGTCAACCATCCAAGGACCTTTTTTTTCAGTTATACATGTAAACCCCATACTTTGTGAGTGGCTTGCTTACATCAAGTCCTACAACTTTTCCTCTACGACTTTTCTCGGAAATGGCACGTATGCGCGCAGGCGACTCGCAAACATTTTAGGGGTATCGGACTCCCCCAATTTGCCATTATTTTTGTCGGCCAAGTTGATTTCCGTGATTTGATGATAATATTGGCAACTTACAACATAATATAGACAAATTATATATCATCGGAAAGGTAATTTTATGTGTATTCCAAAAATTTAAAAATTTACAGGGTGTCCCATTTAAAAAAGATGAAGTTTGTATCATATCTCTCAAGCGGTACTTCGGAAAAAAAATTCCAGTACGCCAATGAAATCTACGTAAAAAACTGCGTCAGATACAATTTTCACTTTTTTGATATCTTTTTTTATACGCTAGATAATGACTACCCTCGAAAAGTGAATATTTCAAGTTTCACCCTGTATCTCCAAAACGAAACAAGATAGAGACCTGCGGTTTGCGGCATTCGATTCGTCATGAAAAATTGGCCCGGGAATGTGGAAACAAAAAAAAATCTACCTCTACGAGTTTAGCAGATAACCCCAATTCCCATCTTCAATGGGACACCCTGTACATATCATGGGATATTTATATTCATGACATATGCCTTGGCACATCTATAGTGTATAAATAGTATATGACATGAATTCCAGAAATATGCGACAATAGTGTCTGTTTCAAAATTAAATAGAACAGGTAAAAAGTTAGTGTAAACGCTTTTTGCGGGGAACCTGTAGTATTTGCAATTGATCTGACCAAGCGTACAGTTAGCTAGGAATCCTATCCAAATGTGCAATTAGTTACAAGGATCGTAAATACCACAGTGTGTCCGCAAAAAGCATTTCCACCTGTTACCTGCTGTTCTATTTAATTTTGGGACAGACATCACATCAAGCTGACCTACCTTTCTTCTTTTGCTGGGACACCTTTTGTCCTAGTGAAAAAACTGTCTTTTCACACTCAGGAACAAATAATTATAATTGGAAATTAGGCTAAAAAAATAAAATGTTAACAAACTCATATGAACATATATTTAAATAAGCTTCCAATATTACAAAAAATATGAAGTGTGTAAATAATGTATGGAATGAATAAAATTTGCAACAGCTTCAGCAGACTTGAATGTGAAGTTCTTTCTTCCACAGCACAGCCCAAGAGCATGAATGGGAAACAAACCTGGGAGAAGGAGTGTCAATGTTTGGGAAAACCACAATTTAGACTGGAATTTGTGGCTGCCGATCAACATTACTAGCGGAAGAGGTTCTCTCACTGCTGGAATAGGCAGCCATAAGTGTCTGAACCCTAAGATTTTCCTGAATTATTTTTAATTAGTATAATTATAAACCTAATTTACATTCTCACATATGTGGTAAGTAAACAATATCGAAATAAAATATTAACAACTACCTATACTTACCTTATCTTCCAGTTTTTTCTGTGAAAGAAAATGGAAAAAATAAAGAAATCACTGAAAACATACACAAAAACAAAGGCCACAACTGCCACAAAAGATCTTTTGACTTTTGTGAACAAGATCAAACAGACGAAGCCGCGAGCACGCACGTACTGAGAATCGAGATAACCTAGAATCAAAAAAGAAACGACACCATTTCCAACAGTATTTCAAAATCGGTCAATGTATTTCAAAATAATCACTTTTATTTCAAAAATTTATAATTTAATTTCCAATTTGTCACTTTTATTTCCAAATATATCATTTGTATTTCAAATTAATCAAATGTATTTCAAACTGTACCATTTATACTTCCAAAAAAATCAGATGTATTTCAAAATCATCATTTCTATATCATCAAAAACTGTAAGGGAGATACAGGGTGTCTCGTTATAATTTGATTTTTTTAACTGTACGATATAAGAACCATACTTTATTTTTTAACCGAATTGGTAAGTAATCATTGAAATAAAACTGACCATTTTTGGAATACATTTCACTAATTTGAAATACATTTGATGTTTTTCGAAATAAATTTGGTTATTTTGAAATACATTTGATGTATTTTGGAATAAAATTCATAAAGATTGAAATCAAATTTATGCTTTTTGATATTCAATTGATGATTTTGAAATACATTTGATATTTTTTTAAATTAAAGTTGTTATTTTGAAATACATTTGATGCTTTTTGAAATCAACTTTATCTATTTTGAACTAAAACTGGTGTAGAAAGAATGGAAATCTTAAATTAGGGAATCCAAACCACGTGACTTTTGCCAACCAGCCGGCATTTTGAAATTTTTATGAGGTTAGAATACGGGTTGTTACATGTCAACGATGTCAGAAAAGTGTCAGATTGATAAAGCCTCTTAGATTAGGGAGGGGAGAGGATACCGCGCACTGGTTTAACGCAATGCTAGGTTTTTGTTACATCAATTGACCGGCCGCCATTTTATTTGTGGCAAACAAGCTTCTGTGGCAGTGTAGATATTTTGTGATTTTGTGACTAAAAAGTTTTAATATTTGACAAAATTTTGTGCTAATAGACATGGTGAATTGTTGTGCTTTTCAGTGTAAAAGTCGTAGCGAGAAAAAGGGACCGGGAGTATCTTTTCACAGGTAATTAATAAACAATGCATAATAAAACCATCATTATACAGGCGCTTTTTTATATTTGGGGACAGATTTTATACATGCCCTATAAGTATCATATTATATACTGTGTGTAAGCAAATTACGGGCCTAAATATAATTCCCCATTTTAAATGTTTCCATTGAAAAATCAATAATTTTGTTAATTCGATCTGTCAAATCCTTTGAATCTACCAGTGACGTAGACCATTTAAATACTCGATTTTAATTTAAAAAAGTCCTAAAAACTAATTAAGAGCGAATAAACTGATTATTTCCTAATTTACGCCCCAAAATACGTATATCCTGAAAAAATCGTAAATTTTGGCGTGATGATCAACCATTTAGACATTTACCGTTTTAACTACGTATGATTTTGTGATACGCCACTGGCCTAGACGGTCTTGGGCCAGCTGGTAACACGCAGGCTTGACGGATTACCAGTCCTCTCTCTTTTCTTGTCTAAGTAAAGCCTAGTACTCATAACCGCGAAATTCACCCTTTTTTGACATTGCTTGGATAATTTGACGTTTGATTCATGCATAAAACGTCAAATTGTCGAAGCAATCTCAAAAAAGAGCGAATTTCGCTGTTATGAGTACTACGCTTAATCCTGCCAAAAGAAAGACATATGTTTTTTGTTCATTGTTTGCCAACCAGACGCCATTTGGACAGGTCGTTGGATTGCCTAATTGAGAAAATTACAATGATTAAAATGAAAATGTTTGATGTGAAATGAAGAGCCTGTATAGGTTAGGTTGGCAACTGAGAAGAAAAAAACGCGAGCGCAGCGTGACAGTTGACAGCGATTGGAAACTGGAACGTAGCCTATGTTCCAATATCCGCGAATGGTATTTTATTATGAGATTAAAATATATCTGAGTCTAGCGAGGCATTTCTTCTTATTAAATTAAAAAGCGAGGATTTCTCATCATTCAATAAATTTTATAAGCGCTGTTTGCACCTGCGCGAATTGACGCGGCAGGTGTGTTGGAGAGAATACACTTTTAGAATATTCTTAACACATGTTACGAATGTACTCGAGAGAATATCTGTACTTTTAAAATTCATATTAATATGATAAGAATTATTACTTACATTTTCATAAAATCTATTGAAATAATTACTTATTTCAGTTTTCGATGGGATAATATCTAATTTTTGTTTTATTTAAAATATGCTTTTTCGGATGTACCTGGCATATACTTCGAATATACTTGAAGTAAGTGTACTTTTTATGTTCCTTTCCCGAATATGCTCAGCATGTGCGCTAAGGAATATTTCAATTGGTATATACTTATCATATGCTATACATTTACTGAAAAGAACATTCCTAAAATATATATAGCAAGCACATGCTAAGCATATACCTTAATGTCCTTTAAGGAACACTGAGCGCATATGCTCAGCATGTGAATGTTCTTTCAATGCTATGTGGGTTATTTGTGTATATTTTAAAGCAGAATTGCAGAGATATCTAACAAGTTGTAGGTAATTTATTTTGAGTGCTTGAAAAGAAAGCCTTAGGTACAATCAATAGGAATTATTGTGAAATTACTTGAAATTGTGATATTTTCCATATAAGTTTGCATTGGAGGATGGCAGGAGAGTTAGGGACCACTCCAGCTGCCGGCAACATGTACTTTTCCATTCTTTAGGATCACAGAGGAATACGAATTTGAGCATTTTTGCCGGTCCTCACATTTTGCATACTCAACTACTTGTAGCCCCTGCTCTATTAGTCACCGCACGGTTGTTTGTCCAAAGGTTTTGTAGTGACTTTTTAACAATGTTTTTATGTTAACTTTTTTGATTAGCAGTATCTTTTCTTAGTAATAATTTTCGGTTCATTTATGCAAATTTATTACTTACCACGACTTCCGAATGCAAATAACTAACTAATCAAACTGATGAAAAACTTTCGAATTCAATTTTTAAAACTTTGACAATGATTCTGACGTTTAATTTGTTTTTAATTTTTGTCGTTGCCGGACATGAACCCGAGATGCGTTCAGAGATCTGGTTCCAATGCGTTCAGAAATCAGATTCCGTTCTACTTTCTAATCATTATTTTATTAGTGATTAGACAACGATTCGGAAGTACCTCTACCGGTTCTGTTCTGAAATCGAAATCAGTCCAGAGGCATTATTCTTGACTTTATCTAGGTAGAAAATTTGACATTGTTGACAGTTAATGCACTGTTTAATGGTCAACGCAGTCAAATTCTCTCGAAAGAGAAAGTCAAGAATAAGGCCTCAGTTGGAATGTGATCCGCGAACAGAAACAATCATATTATTTATTAGAATAAACATGTCTGTGGAAGAAACTATACTGAAAACTAGAAAACCACAAACCCTTGGCACTGCTAATAGGCGTTTTCTTTTTTCACTCCTATTTTTGCTCGTTGAATTCACCAAAATTTGTTTGTGTACTTGAGGTGGGTCCGGCTTGCTCACTCCATGCACTCCGAGTGACTCCATTCGCCCTCCAGCCGTTCGGGTATTGCTTTTTGGCGTATTAGGGGTGACTCCATCAGCGTTCAACTATAAGGAGTGGCGTAAATAGAGTTCACTCCAAAAGTTCCACCTCGGAAAGAGAATTTTTTAGAGTAAGCATGCGCACAAGTGAAATGTGTAAACTGTCAAGCTTCTTGTATTGTCACTTTGTGGTTGTTGTTAGAAAAATTAAAAATCGTTGTGTGCATGCGGGAATTGGTGAAATCATCGAGCAAAATAATTTTTCTACGTAGGGTTTCCATAAAGGTTTTTCGGAATTCAGGACAAAGGAGTCAAGAAATCCGGACAAAATCCGGACTTCGCCGAAATAGTTATTGAGAGTGTGTAAAGTGAAAGGCGAGTTTGACTAAATTCACATTTGTGAAAAAAGGTTCACTTTACACACATATTGCATAATATACAAACAATTTTCTACTACCAATGAAATATGTGTAAAAAAATAACTTTAGACAAATACTTTACGCACTAATGCGTAAAGTAAAGTAATTTACTAGAATAGTTATTTATGCAACAAGTGTGTAAAGTGAACCTTTTTTCACGAACGTGAATTTTGACGCACGAGCCGAAGGCGAGTGCGACAATCACATGAGTGAAAAAAGGTGCTTTACGCACGTATTGCATACAAATTTTTTTCTACTACCAATCAAATATGTGTGAAAAAATAGATTTAGACAAATACTTTACGAACTAGTGTGTGAAGTATTTTCACTTTACGCACTAGTGCGTGAAGTAATTTACCAGAAAAATACTAGTGACAGTGTCAACATCTGCAATTGACATTACTTTACGCACCAGTGTGTGAAGTGAATTACTTTACGCACTAGTGCGTGAAGGGGAATTTTACCTCTTCTGAATAGTGCGTAAAGTGAGTATTTTACGCACGGTAGTAGAAAAAAAAATTACAGTGTCGACATCTGTCATTGACCTTACTTTACGCACTAGTAGGCAATTTTGCGCGAGGATAACATTGGAGGATAATCAAGCATAATTGTCGATTAAAGGCGATTAACCAGTCGGTTATATTGACAGATAAACGATGCATTTAACGTCATTTATAACCGATTGGTTGACAAATGACGTTTGCTTCATTGATTATCTGTCAACTATGACCGACTGGTTAATCGCCTTTAATCGATGATTCTGATTATGCTGGGTTATGTGATGTGTCAACTGTGTCATACTCCCCTAACTCCCTTAACCCTTCAATTCTGGGCCTGAGAGTGACGTCACTACCAGCAGTTTATAGTGATGACGTCACCCGCAGACCACGATGGAATGCTTGCGATTCAAGCTGTGCTAGTGAGTTAATTTTTTCGTCGATTTCAAATGTAGAAAGTTTTCGGTCTGTTCTCACAGAAGAAGTTAAGGGCCGGATTTATAGTCGCTGCTTGAAGTTTCCTCAGGCCTCAAGGAGGCTTTGAACGTTTAGAATTGAGATGACTAACCTGTCAAATAGTAGCAAGTGTCCATTCTAAACTCACGACCTTCAAGGAAGACCCAAGAAACGACTATAAATTCGGCCCTAAGTGTTCTTGATCCTCGAGTATCCCAGAATTTGATGATGGGTGAGTTAGGGGAGTATGACACCAATTGACATATCACATAATCTAGCATACTCGAGAATACTTGGTAAACCTCGCGGAAAATTCCCTAGTGACCCTAGTGTGTAAAGTGACTTACTTCACGTACTAATGCGAGAAGTAAAATTTTACGTGTTTTGGATAGTGCGTAAACTGGGGCGAGTTCAGGAATGACACACTCAGTGTGAGTGTGACACCGGTGCGACGCACTAGCCGTTCATAAATGCTATAGGCACACCGAGTGCGCGCACTCTGTGCCGTTCAGAAAGTACTTTGGGCGCGCTCCAGGTGTCGCACCGGTCACACCATAATTTTATGGTGTGGCTGCGGTGTGATTGTGCCTTTATGTCAACAATGTCAACCATTCCTCCCATAATCTCAATAATCCCATCAAATATAAACAAAACACAAATAAGAATTAAAGTTTTTCCTTCAAATTAAAAAAATTAACAACAAAAAAAGTAATCCTAATAGATTTTGTGAAATTTTTGAGGAGTTGCTTGATTGGTCACACCAAGCGTTCAGAAATTCATACGAAAGTTGTCGTTTAAGAATTGTCATTTCAGTCACACCCATAAAATCGCACTCACACCCGGTGTTTTATTTCTGAACTCGCCCCTGAGTATGAGTGTTTTCACGATCTCTGAGTTTTCCGGACATTGTTCCGAATTCTTTTTTTTTTTTTTTTTTTTTTTTCTGCTTTCTTGTCAGAAACCACCACTGTGGTTTGTCGACAAAGCCTCCAACATCACACACAAACCAAAATCAAACAAACAAACAAACATCCATGCACCTAGCCGGGATTCGAACCCGAGACCCACTGCATGCAAAGCGAAAACACAACCGCTGAGCTGCTTGGGTCCGGCCGGATTTCCCCGGACACCCTAAAAACCCAAACATGTCCGGGTAAATCCGGACGTATGGAAACCCTATCTACGAGCGTGCGGGAAATGACTCTTCCCGCGCGATTTGCTGTGCGGGAAGTTAGAGTTTGAAATAATCATTGTGACATGGAATTGTTTGTATTGTTGATACACCTATACCTTTACCTTTAATACCTTAACCTTTTTTTTATAAATACCTTTCAATACATTTTTAATTCTACCTTCTGCACAATCGCATTTTATTTAAATTAAACTTCTCGTAACATCAGCTTTAGTATGCTCGTAGAAAAAATATAGTTCCTAACTCTTGCGGGAAGAAATTTCCGCACTCGTTAGGAAAATAGCTATTATATCAAGAGTGCGTTCGAAATCAGTCTAATGGGCGTCACACCAAGTGCACACCAGCCGTTCGAAAATGAATTTGTATAAACTCCGGTTGACTTTCACGCTAGTTCGAAAATATCCGGAGTTCTACCCAGTGTGCACTCTTTCTTAACCAACTCTGCTGCTAGGTAAAATTCACTCCTGTCATTCTTGTCAGTTTTTCTTAGGCGGGTATTATAAAACTGCTTTGACAGTTAACTTAAAGTTAACTTTTTGAATTACATTACAATTATTAGTAATTTATAGTCGTTTCTTGGGTCTTCCTTGAAGGTCGTGAGTTTAGAATGGACACTTACTACTATTTGACAGGTCATCTCAATTCTAAACGTTCAAAGCCTCCTTGAGGCCTGAGGAAACTTCAAGCAGCGACTATAAATCCGGCCCTTAACTTCTTTTGTGAGAACAGACCGAAAACTTTCTACATTTGAAATCGACGAAAAAATTAACTCACTAGCACAGCTTGAATCGCAAGCATTCCATCGTGGTCTGCGGGTGACGTCATCACTATAAACTGCTGGTAGTGACGTCACTCGCAGGCCCAGAATTGAAGGGTTAAGGGAGTTAGGGGAGTATGACACAGTTGACACATCACATAACCCAGCATAATCAGATTATGCTTGATTATCCTCCAATGTTATCCTCGCGCAAAATTGCCTACTAGTGCGTAAAGTAAGGTCAATGACAGATGTCGACACTGTAATTTTTTTTTCTACTACCGTGCGTAAAATACTCACTTTACGCACTATTCAGAAGAGGTAAAATTCCCCTTCACGCACTAGTGCGTAAAGTAATTCACTTCACACACTGGTGCGTAAAGTAATGTCAATTGCAGATGTTGACACTGTCACTAGTATTTTTCTGGTAAATTACTTCACGCACTAGTGCGTACAGTGAAAATACTTCACGCACTAGTTCGTAAAGTATTTGTCTAAATCTATTTTTTCACATATATTTGATTGGTAGTAGAAAAAATTTTGTATGCAATACGTGCGTAAAGCACCTTTTTTCACTCATGTGATTGTCACACTCGCCTTCGGCTCGTGCGTCAAAATTCACATTCGTGAAAAAAGGTTCACTTTACACACTTGTTGCATAAATAACTATTCTAGTAAATTACTTTACTTTACGCATTAGTGCGTAAAGTATTTGTCTAAAGTTATTTTTTTACACATATTTCATTGGTAGTAGAAAAAACTCTCAAAGTAGTTTTATAATACCCGCCCTAAATAAAAAAAATTGACAAGAATGACAGGAGTGAATTTTACCTATGAGGTGAGTTCGGAATGGTAAAAAGTGTCGACACTTATTACACTATTGAAACTGTGGCGTTCGTTAATTGGTATAGGAGTGTTTGGTGTACACTCCGTTTACTCGGTACAAAATGATTGTGTATTTGGTATTACACCGCCGATTACACCTTCATCACGTGATACAACACTGCACTACACGAACACCGCACTAGCACTGCACTAAAATTCCATTCCGAACTCAACTAGCGGCAGAGTTGGTTAAGAAAGAGTGCACACTGGGTAGAACCCCGGATATTTTCGAACTAGCGTGAAAGTCAACTGGAGTTTATACAAATTCATTTTCGAACGGCTGGTGTGCACTCGGTGTGACGCCCAGGCTACAGTGACTCTATAACCCACAGTGGCGACAATAGGGTACTTGCATGAAAAATTAAATAGATTATTGTTTATTGCAAACTGTAGGAAATCGAAAAAAAATAGCCATCGCCATCTTGTTCCCAACCCCTTGTTACTTTTAAATATGAATATATGGGATTTAGGTGAACATCCATCATAAATCATGGAAAACAACGTATTTTATGGACCTAATAATGGTCATCAAATATGTCGATTTCAATTTTTCATGATAGATGTCCATTTAAATCCTATATATTAATATTTAAAAGTAACAAGAGGTTGGGAACAAGATGGCGGCGGGACCTCTATTGTCGCCACTGTATGTAAAGGTTTATTTAGCCACTGTAGCCCAGACTGATTTCGAGAGCCCTCTTGGGGTGATAATAAAGGTCGATTTACACAATACAGCACAATAGGAAAATGCGTACCAGTTTTAAGATTGACCAAGTGTACAGTGTGTTTTTTTTTAAAGATAAAAGGCAAAATGACATACTATTGGCAACATAGTTACTAAATTTTTGACTTGGGGAATTATCATTAAAAAAAAAACAGACTTTATATATTGTCCATCGTTTTTAATCTGAAATTTTCCGTATGAGGAGCGGAGGGGTGAAGCGGGTGGAGCTTATGGCAAAAACAGGTGTGACGTCAGGTGGCCATTGGCGTTTTAATAGTCGTATTCCTTTCACACCTATGAGTAGCTCTGGAACAGCTCCGGGGCGTTACGCGCTTATTCCTTTCGAAAAGTGTTTGTTGCACCCGAGTACTCAAGCCCGAAGTGAACCCTGAGTTTTTATTCTCATCAAATTTTACCGATGGATCCACCATTCTATAGCCGTCATTGTCACCATTCTATGGCCGTCATTGTCATTTTCCATTCACTAAACAAAGATAGCTAACTTATCGGTGACTTGTCACCGATGAGAATAAAAACGAGGGAAAACCATTTAAATGCATGAAAGCCAGCGCATCTGTTCCTTTCAAATCGTGGCGACTAACATCGGAGGGATTAGCTCTAGTGTTTCAAACTCTTGAAAGGAACACAGCTAATGTAGGAAGCCACCAGCCACAGTCCTTTGGAGCAGTATCAGATTAAAATCAACGGATTTTAAGTTATATTCCTCTCAGCGGTTTTAAAAGGTGGGTTCGGCTTGCTCACTCCGAGTGACTCCATTTGCACTCCAGCCGTTCGGGTATTGCTTTTTACCGTAAGGGGTGACTCCATTAGCTCTGTTCTTACTCCACTCCGACTCCGCGCTGAATAGCCGAACCCAGCTAAAACATTCGAGATACTCACTCCGGTGTTGTCGCCACCGATTTAATAGGAACAGATGCGTGGTACAACAAACACTTTTCGAAAGAAATAAGCGCGTAACGCCCCGGAGCTGTTCCGCAGCACTACCTAAAGCCTAGTACTCATAACTGCGAAATTCGCATTTTTTTGACATTGCTTCGACAATTTGACGTTTGATACACGCATAAAACGTCAAATTGTCAACGCAATGTCAAAAAATTGCGAATTTCGCAGTTATGAGTACTAGGCTTAAGTGTGAAAGGAATAAAAATATCGATATCGTATCGATACCACCTCGATGTGAAGTGTTCAATTGACATTTGTTCAACTTCAAGTTCAAATGTTGTCGACTTGTCGTTGCGTCGGTTGATATTTGATTGTTGTTAAAAACAATTTTTTGGTTAGATTTTGATTTAGGATGTTAATAAATTAATTACAACTTCAATTCTCTAAATGGGGCTAACTATAACTACAGAAAATACAAACTGATTAACCTCCAGTACTGTCATCAAATGCATTTATTGTAATCCAGTATATTTTAAAAAAAAAAATTGTTGACATGGAAGAGGCTGCTCATACTTCTGAGGAGATTTTAGTGATCCACGAAGAAACTATTGAGGATCCCGAGTCTATCATCATAGCAGATGAAGATAGGGCTAAATTAAAAACTGAATTGCATATAAAGTGCCGAGGCTGTTTCATACAGGAAGATGAGATGCATTACTTGTTTTCTTCCATTGATGGAGAACTAAATTTGGCTTATGTTATAACTAAGTGTACTGGATATTCTGTAAGTATTGTAATTTTTCATTTGTTTATTTTAACAATCACATCTATGCTTCATAAACAAATAAATGAGCTTTTATTTCCATCAGGAATGTGGAATTTACAATTAATTTTATCTTTAATTTAGTGTGAGAAAGACGATGGATTTCCACCTTACCTTTGCTTAAGATGTACAACCATACTCGTAGACTTTTTCAATTTCAAAGACCAGATCCGAAAAACAACACGCCTTGTGGAAAATTTACTAGGAAAATCTCTTAAGCAACTGGAAACGGATCCTCACCCTGAAAACGATCCTCACCCTGACAACAGTAACACAGATGAAGTATTTATTCCAGATCTTGCAGAAATATCAGGTGAATTTTTTTAAATAAAAATCCATGTTGAGAAATTAACAGGTTGAGTGCTACAGTAAATTGAATGAACTTCTCTCTGAGCCCGAAAGCAGATAATAGTACAGTAAAGGTTCACTAATCCGGATTAATAAAAACCAAGGCAATCCGAATTAATGAAACATCCGGATTATTGGAACCTTTTGAAAAGTCACAAAAATACGTCAAAAACTGTAGTTTATTAACTCGAAATAGGTGCTTATTACATAGTACAGTTAATTTTTGCAAAAAATCGTGTTTTTCTGCTAGAGTTAACGTTTTGTGTGCTCTATTTGGCGCCATGATGCATCCTACCGAGCATTCCACCCTTGTCACAGAAACAAACGCATCGTTTTCGGTGAAATAAGGGGATTCACCGACATAGACTTTGGTAACACCACCTGTAGCGATTGGCGAACTGCGCAAAAAATTATGATCCGGATTATAGAATACATAATATTAACACCTAATATTTTAATTTTGTACGGATTACTGGGACATCCGGATTAATCGAGTTCGGATTAGCGAAGCTTTAATGTATTTCAAATTTATTTATTATACAGATACGTTTAGATATCCAATGTAAGATATCTGTCAATTTGACAGCTGTAAGTGAATGTCCATTAAACTGGACGTCAGGATATTTTAATTTATTTATTTATTTATTTATAATATATACATCCAATATAAGAATCTGAAGCAAATAAATAAATGAAAATTAAAAAAAAAAAAAAAAAAAAAAATTCGTAACTGAAATATCCTACCAGTCCAGTATACTGCACATATTCATATATCAATTAGCATTTATGGTTATTGTCATTTGTCAATAATGGAGATAGTGTTTCTGAAAATATTAAAAATTCAAGGATATTCCAATAGACACTCATATGCCAATAAATACTGAACATAATCAAGAAATGATTGAATTGTTTTGGTCCGCTTCGTGGAAAACAAGTTATTGCCATATCCCGCAATTTTAACAGCTAATTTAGATGCTATTTAGTAGCATCAAGTTTACTGGACGCAGGCCCTGACAAGAAACCCTTCTGTCCAGTATACTGGACGGTGGCATTCAACCTGTTAATTGCCAAGTTGAGATAAACCTTTCCACTAGGAACAACTTTAGAATGCAAATTCTGCCCTTCAACATTTGCCATAGTGGAGGAGTGTGACACTCATATGGCCAAAGTACATAAAAAAAATCCTTTTTATAAATATGCACTGTTCAAGCAACGTGTCGAACCTCAATCTGTAACAATTAAGCAGGAATCTATTGTAGAAGAAAGTTTGCGTAATGTGCCAAAGAAAATGTGTCGGATTTGCCAAAAAAACATACCCGAAGATGAATTTAAAATGCATTGGGAAATTCATAAGGTAAGGATCAGTTTAATTTCCATGAAAATTTCAACGTGATGAATTTCCTTTTTCTATTTTGTTCTTAGGTGAATATTTGCGAGCAATGCGGGCACAGATTTATAAGAGTATCAGACATGAACCTCCACAAACAGTCTGTTCATAATGACGTTAGAAACTTTCCTTGTAATATATGCGAGAAAGCGTTTAAAACTAAGCCTTTCCTCAAAAGAGTAAGTAAGAATTTTTATTACAATTTAATCCAATAATAAGTAATTTATCAGCATATGAATATTCATATAAATCCCCGTCGGTTCTGCTGTGACAAGTGTGGCGAAAGATTCAATGACAGCGGAACACTAAAGACACACATCCGTTTAAAACATGTTGGCACCAAAGACTTTATTTGTCCAATTTGCGGACTCGCATTCAATTTGAAACCGACACTGGACAAGCATGTCATAAGGCATTCTGAAAATAGAGTTCCTTCATTTTTTTGTGAGATTTGTAAGTAGTTATGATTTGTTTCTGACAATGTGCTACTAGAAATATGGTTGAATACAATTTTAGGTAAAAGTCCTTTCCAAGATAAATCTTCATTAAAACGTCATCACACAGTAAAACATACAAACGATTTCATCAGGCCTTCTTGTAATATTTGTGGGAAAAGTTATAGTACGGGCACGAGGCTTCGAAAACATATCGAAAACAACCACGGCCTGAATGAAGTTGTGAGGAAAAAAAGAGGTCGGAAAAAACTCGCTCTTTCTAAAAACTACCATGTTAGTGAAAGCACCGACGAATCTAGTGGATCATCGGAGGATGAACATGGATCAGACTCAAAATTAACAACCGTTTCTGACACTTCGGAGTGAGTTGAATAATATCATTTACACATATTATGTTTTATATTATTTTTCATACAGATAAAACTAGGAACCAGCAAGGATGGATATGGAATACATATATCAACACATGTTATTTGATGAAATTGAACATGTTATACTAAAATAAAGCTCCCTTTTTTAAATTGCATTTAATCTAGATTTTATTTTTTTTTAAATCATGATTTAATTAGATCATCTCAACCCTGGACAAAAATACTAAATTTTCCAGTAAATAGAATTCATAAAGTCTGTTTTTTATTTAAAGATAATTCCCCAAGTCAAAAATTTAGTAACTATGTTGGCAACACAAGCCTTTTCTACATAAAAAATTTGAAAGCATTACAATTTTACATTCTATTGCCAACATAATGTCATTTTGACTTTTATCTTTAAAAAACAGGCTTTATGTATTATCCGTTCACAATCCGATGTCCACAGGTAGGTACAGGTAAAATCACCTTTCAATGCTATTTGATAGGGAAAGGTGATAAATTTACCTGTACCTGTGGACATAGGATTGTGAACAGGATATATTTATTTTTTCTTTATTTGTCCATCATATTAATTAGACTATTTGTAAAAGCCACGAAGTGCCTTTTTAGTTGAGTCAGATAATAATGAATAATTATTACTTTGTGAAATAAATAAAATACCTAAGGATGAAAACATGTTGAAGCAGCTCAACTCACCGCACCCCTTGATGTTCACATTGCCGCTCATAAAACAAGTGTATGCCTATACATAGTACAAAACATATTAAAGCTATGCAATTCGCCGCGCACCTGGCTTAAAGTTCGTCCTCTCATTGGCCATCTCAAGATCATTTGGTAATACTTGTAAATATTACTGCGAGTATTACTGGTATTACTAGGTATTACAATTTATTACCATAACCATTATTAACATGTATTACTAGGATATTTTTTTCTATTACTCATTATTACTTTTGTATTACTTCATTACCTCGATGTTACCATATTTTTCTTAAGAATTACCAGTACCTAAAAATTTTAAACTTTGTATGTAGTGGGTCCTTAAAAAATAAACTTTTTTTTTTCAATTTTACATGTCTTCTTTTTTAGGCAAAAAAAAATCATCTAGATTTTTTTATAAAATCTCGTATTCAAACAAGGGTTTTTCTTCAGGTTCCTGAATTGATATTATTATTCATCATATAGACTAACTGTTATCAAAATAAGCTGAATAATAAAATTCTTGTTTCTTCCCAGGTTTTTTTCTCTGAGAATGATTCTGTTAATGTTTCACTTTCTAACGAAATATCTTCATCTGCATTTTCATCTTTCAGAACAGGTTTCAGAAGCACTTATCAAAGAGATTTTTTTTTTCTTTTTTATTAATTTCAGTTTTTTCTCAGGCGATCTTTTTTTTGTTTTTTTGTGTGTTTCTATTTCACTCAGCTTTCTTGGTGTACTTTTTATTTTTAATTTATTCCTTGTTTCTTTTTTGGAATTCATACCTTGAACTCTGTAAAAGTCCATCAGTTGATAATAGCTCTGATTATTTTTTGATCATCACTCTGATCATCAGCTATTTCTTCTTATGTTGTTTCCAACTTTTGTAAATTTAATAATCGATGTAAATCATCAAAATTTATATCCTCTCATAGGAAATCCTTAATTTATATGCAATGTATTTCAGAAACTTTTTTTGAATTTTTTCAAATAAGTCTTATCATCTTGTAATGAGGAAACCATAATATACTGCACAATATACACACTTCTCAACGTAAACACATTAAGTACCTATTGAAATCCTGTGTCCTGAATAGAAATCCCATATGTTTCATGGCTCTATCAATGAGATACTCAACATGGTTCACAAAGCAAAGGTTGGCAATAGAGAAGCTGTGGTCATTACAAAATTGGAGCAGGCGTTTGCCTCTTCCGTTTCTGGTACCGAACTTACCAATATGTGTCCTACTCCTAGGATATAGGCATATACAGGTCTGGCAAGCCAGCATCTTGCAGGCCAACTTTAATGGGATAGAATGAAATGTATAGAAAAAGTCTAAGATTAAATAGAGAACGAAAATGATTTCCCCTATTCCATCTCCAGCATGCAGCGCTGGGAATGCTGGAGGTGGAACAGGGGAAATCGTTTCCGTTCTCTATTTAACCTTATACTTTTTCTAGACATTTCATTCTATTGCATTTAAATGGGCATGTAAGATGTTCACTTGCCAGACCGGTATAATTATTTGTTCGGCCGAAGATGTCGCAATTTCCTTGATTATTGGGGTCAACGGATGCCGTAAAAAGGTGAGACCACATCTATCAAAGGATGCCGAAGCTCGTGTCGGCCATGAATGTTTTATAGATGAATCCGTCACTGGTCCCCTTCTTGGTCCCCACAGTTTTATTAGGTAGGTACTTCAGCCTTATTGCTTTTAATATTTTTCTGTTGCCTTATTTCAATTTATGGGTGCATCTTTAGGTTCAGGAACCTCTTGATGTGACATGTGTATGGTATGCATAGAAAGCGGGGAGTTCAAGGGGTGCGTTCAAGGACGGCAATGCTAATGCCAAAACCTACTTTTCCCCCTCCACCTGTAATGCCGAACTACGTAGGTTGGAGCCGAAATCGAACGCAAAATGCCAATTTTGGCTTGGCTGTAGCCATTTCTGAACGCAGCCCTGGCCTCCTATACAAATCTTTGCAGGTCTTAGATGGAAGGTTAAAATTTACACCATTTGCTTGGGTCTCAGTGATGGCACCACGTTACACAAAAAGGTTAACACAATATAAGTGCACTTGGTTGGATGAGAACTTGTAGGTTTTTTTTTAATACCAAATAAGTGAACAAACAGCCTACTTATTTTGATATTAGGACCTATCCAACTGGACTTAGATAAACAGTTGATATGACGATCCAATTATCGTCCAAGTGAGGAGGCGCACGTATAGCGTCCAACAGTACTTGATCCAAGATACAAGTACACTTGGACCGTGTCAACCTAGCTTTATTTGAGAGTGAGAAATCTATTTTTGGGAGCTTCCAATTTCCATAGCTTCCGGCCTCGTTGCGTTAGCATCATGTGGATCATGTAGTAATTTAGTTTAGCAACCTGTTGTATTGATGGTTTAAGACAAGACTGGCCTAGCAAAGTCCTTAATCTTTAATTACATATAGGTAGTTATCTGAAATAGTAACAAGCACCTGAGCTGTGATGTAAACGAATGTAGAGCTTCATATTTGCCAAGGAAAAATTGGAAATGATTATCTCAAAAACGATTTGCGATACGATAAGTACAAGAAAGCAAATGCCAATAAATAAGGAATTTCAGAGAGGATCGGGATGGAGGATCGAGGATCAGAAAATGAGAAAATATACCTAGTGATCCCAGTGTTGAATATTAGCTATTCTTCATTTATCGATTATTCAATATGAAAAGAAAACCCGCCAGAAAAAGGTAAGTAAAATGTAAATTAAACAACATAACGACGTAACAGATAAAACTTCAATAATGCGGACACGATTTGCGATTTGCTGAAAGAAATCAACTTGTCGATATCCTATTCGAGTTTTACATTCGAATCGAGTTCGGAGAAAAGAAAACTCATCACTATCGACTAAAGAAAGCACCTAATTCGCCGTCATGTGACAGTCATGTCAATAATTGACCGTGACGTTGACAGTGATATGGTGACCTTTTTTTAGCAAACAAATCGTCTAATTAACTTAAATTTTTGGGGCTTTTCCGATTTTAATGATTCTAATTGAAAAATGGCAGTGATGGAGGGTTCTTTAAGTAAGTGGACAAATGTGATGAAAGGGTGGCAATACAGGTGGTTCGTGCTGGACGATAATTCAGGACTGTTGTCCTATTACACGGTAAGTAAATAGTAAAAATATAGGCTTTGAAAAACCTGAAATCGAAGGGATTCAAATGAGCCCTGCGGTCTTACCAATTTATTGTCTATAAAGAAGTTTAATTTTTTGTACTATGCGTTGGCAAATCAGTCATTAAACTCATTTATTAGATCAATGGAATTAAGCTAAAAGCTCTCGTTAAATTTGAGTAAACAAATCGTTACAGTAGTTAAAACTCCGATAAACACCTTAATGATAAGTAAAATCAGTAAACGTGCTACCTTAAAATTTCAGTTATGTTATAGCAATGTGTTGTTCGTGACCTAGAAATACTACCTTGTAATCTGCAATGCTGTATTATTTAGCTCAATAACTTAGGTACTACATTTTAATGTATTTTGCTGCTAAAATACATACTATCTTCTGAGTGCCTATAAGATTCGACTTGTCAATGATTTAAAGATAATACAATGATGCTGAACCAGCTCAACACATCTAAATATCAGGTTTTCACGATTACACGAAAAACAATTTTTGGAGAACAAATGCCTAATTTCTCCCCAAAATTTCCAAACATTTCTACAATATTCACTGTAGTTTTCTAGAAATGATCATTTTTTTGCTTTGCTGAAATATGTGAGTATAGTCTGGCTAGCCAAACGTCGAACTCCAAAAGAATTTGCTGCTCTGCCAAACTTGACGGAAACAATGATAAATTAGTTGGTGACATATTTTTTTTTGCTGTATGGCCATGTGTAGTATTTCGAAATAGAAAAAAAGGTAACAGTTTGATATGTCCCCAACACCTAATTTTGAATAAATTTTGTAAAATATGATTAAATAAGTGTCTAAATAGATAACTTCAACGTAAATTATTTGGTGCAAATGGTTTATAAATGAAAAAAAAAAAAAAAAAAATGTTTATATAAAATATATGTTGAGGATTTATTGAATAATTACCCCTAAGTAACAGTTTCATATACCCCCAACACCTAACTTTGTACAATATAATCAAATTAGTGTCTAAATAGATATCTAGTTTCAACTAAAATTATACCCAAGAACAACAGAATAAAATTATTTGGTGCAAATGATTTATAAGCAAATACCTATATAAAAAAATGGTTCATAAGATAAAATATATGTTGGCGGTTTATTGAATAATTACCCCTAACTAAATATTTATTATATCCCCAACACCCAACATTGACAAACATGCAAAACGATTGAAAAACCAATCACTGCCTAATAGAGCTAGTTGCCTTGTGGCGCTCAGCTAGTTAAAAAAAAACAATCATAACTGGATCTCACCCTGGAGCTCAAATTCTATTAAATCAATAAAAAATCTATCAAATTAATAAAAAAACAGAATGCGTCAGGACTCGACGAAATTTCTGTAAAGATTTTGAAAAACCTACCAGACATCGCGCTTGAGGTGCTGGTATCATGTATAAATTGGTCTTTAACAACAGGAATTTTTCCTCCATGTCTTAAGTCAGCGATAGTTATACCAATCTTTAAAGGGGGCGATAGCTCTGACCCATCGAACTATAGGCCGATCTCTCTTCTGAGCACCCTTTCTAAGATCATGGAAAAAATTGTTAAGGAGCAACTGATTGACTACTTGAATGAAAATAACATCCTGAGTCAAAACCAGTTTGGCTTTCGGGGGTCCAGGGGCACGGGTGATGCCATGTTTTCATTTTTGGAGAGTTTGTACCTTGGTTTGAATGGAGGAGAGGTTGCTGCAGCAGTGTTCTGCGATTTTTCAAAGGCCTTCGATACGGTTAATCATGGAATACTGCTGCGGAAGCTGAGCCATTATGATGTCCTGGGAACTGAGTTGAGCTAGTTTGCTTCAATGCTTTTGGGGAGGGATCAGTTTGTTCGGTCGGGTGGTGTTTATTCGGGTGCAGAGGGAATCTTACACGGAGTGCCACAGGGTTCGGTTTTGGGGCCGATTCTATTCCTTGTCTACATCAATGACTTGCTCTCCTTACCAGTATCTGCGAAGATGGTAGCGTTTGCTGATGACACAAATATATTATGGACTACGAAAGAAAATCCAACCATCTTCAAGACAGTTATAGAGAACGATCTTTCACAAATTAAGGGGTGGTGTGATGCCAATGCGCTCTGCTTCAACATACAGAAAACAAATATACTGACTTTCAAGTGTGCTCTAAATGATATCATGCTACAAAATGAAACATTAGAGAATAGAACCACAATGAAGTTTCTGGGTCTGCACATTGATTAGTTTGAGCCTCACATAAATTGCCTAACGAAAAAATTAGCAAGTGCCTGCTATATCATTAGAACTAATCAAATCAAATCAAATCAATTTATTTGTGTTAATTTACACTCATGTGTTTACACTTGTCAATAAAAACTACTGTCTAATTCCAATTTACATATTAAAATAGTTTAAAAAGGTTTAAAACACAAGCTAAAAATTACATTAAAAAAAAAAACAGGCTAAAATTTACATAAATTAAAATAAACATTTACCTTAACGAATTTTACAAACAAATTTCAAGAATAAAAACATTACATCAGGTTAAGATGGCACAATTACTATTATTATTACTTATACTATTTTTCACTGCAATTTACCATCCATCCAGCTAAGTGTGGAGTTGTTAAACTCTTGTATAGAATAAAAAGCCTTGGAAATCAAAAAGTCCTTTACTTTCTCTTTAAATTTAGACTTACTTAGATATTTCAGGGGATCAGGAAGCCGATTAAAAAATGTGACTGCATGGAACCCGGGTCCATTTTGGCACCTTTGTAACCGGTGAAAGATTGGTTGTAGGTGGTTTTTGTTTCGCGTGTTGTAGTTGTGAATGTCACTGTGGCAGGTATATCCGTCATGGTGGTCTTTAACATACATCAAATTTTGGAGAATATACTCACATGGCAGAGTCAGGATTCTGTTATTAATAAAGGCCTGTCTTACATCTTCCCTATAACCCAATCCCGCAACAATCCTCACAGCACGTCTCTGCATAGCAAAAACCCCCTGTGCACCACTAGAGTGGCCCCAAACGAGCAACGCGTAGCTGAGATGCGAGTGGAAGACAGCAAAGTAAGACTGTTTGAGAATTCTTGGAGACACGCACACCGACAAATTCCTTAAAACAAAAGTATTTCTACCTAGCTTCTTCGTAGTCATCTCAGTGTGAGCATCCCACAGTAATTTCTGGTCGAGAGCAACCCCAAGGAATACGACACTACCTGCCATCGGTTCTGTTCTTTTTAATGAGAAAACATAGTTTTGGGTTTTGGCTTCGTTCAAGAAGAGTTTATTAGCTGAAAACCATTGCTTGGCTCTTGCCTGTGCCTCTCTAGACATGTCGGTTGCTGTCTTTATGTCTGTGTGTTTGACTTGTTCTGTTGTGTCATCTGCAAAATTGAAGATTTTTTCTGTTCTTGCTATGTTTTGCAGGTCGTTTATGTAAAGTAAGAACAAAATAGGCCCCAGGATCGAACCTTGGGGTACTCCCATTCTGACTTCCTGCTTATAGGACATTATATTGTTAAAACTGACTGCTTGTTGACGTTTTGTTAAATATGATCTTATAAGATTTATGCTTTGAGGTGAAAAATGATAAAAAGGTAGTTTGTCAAGTAAAATGTCGTGAGAGACACAGTCAAAAGCCTTGCTCAGGTCGCAAAAGATTGAGACTGTGTGTTGTGAGTCTTCAAAACCCTCCATTATGTTTTCTACTAGTCTTAGGATTGCCAAAGTGGTGTTTTTGCCCCCTCTAAAACCAAACTGGTTTGGGCTCAATATTTCGTTAATTTCAAGATAGTTTGTTATCTGGTTTGCAAGACATTTTTCAATGATTTTGGAAAGAACAGGCAAAAGAGAGATAGGCCTGTAGTTTCCAGGATCACTCGATTCACCCTTTTTATAAATAGGAGTCACCCTAGCTATTTTCATACAATCCGGAAAGGTACCTTCTCTTATGCAACAATTTATAAGCTTTGTAAGAGGAATAAGCAACTGGTTCTTGACACCCTTTATTAAGTTAATATTTAAGTTGTAAATATCTTTGCTTGTTTTATTTTTGAGCCTATCGATCACCCCTCGAACTTCACAGAATGTAACCTCCCTAAAAAAGAATTGCCCCCCTTTTATATTTAAATGTAGGTTTTGCAGACTTGCCAGAGGATTAATGTTTTCATTGGGTATTTTACTTTGCAATTCAACTGCTATATTTACAAAGTAATCGTTAAATTCCGAGGCTGTTATGCCAATCTCGTCATTTACAAATTTTTGTGGTTTACCTCTCAGCTCATTTACTATCTCCCACATGCACCTGCTTGGATTAACTGCATTTTGAATTTTTCTATCATTGCAATGGACCTTTGAATTTTTTATAGCTTTTTTGTAATCTTTTCGGTAGCTTTGGATATAAGACTTAAGTTGGTCATTTGGGAAGTGCCTGTAGATGTCATTTAGATGGCGCAAGTGTTCCCGCATATTTCTCAAATCGTTATTAAACCAATCTATGTTATTTGTGTGATGTTCTTTTATGTTACACATTTTTTGTGGAAAGGAGTCATTGAAAGCAGATCCAAGAAGATGCAGAAGGGTTTCAAATTTTTTATTTAGTATGATAGGGGAGTCAACAAAGCTCAAGTCAAAACCTGCCACCTTTTCAAAAAATTTGTTTTTCCCAATTTGTGTAATTGGTTGGCAGAGCTTTTTTATAGTTTTTGGTTTAATTTTATCGAATGAACAATTTATTGTAAGTAATTGACCCTCATGATCAGATTTACCTGGTGCTACAACTTGTGCGACAAAGTCACTCTCGGCAAAATTGATAAATATATTGTCAAGACAGTTTTCTCCTCGTGTTGGTTGAAAAATGGTCTGGAGAAGCCCATGAGATAATAGCATGTCTGTGAGTTCTTTGGACATTCGATCCTCAGTACAGAATTTGACATTGAAATCTCCTGCTAGGATGACCCTGCCTTGAGGACTAACCTGGCCTAAAATATGATCAAGTATG